AGAATTTTAGGGAACACAAACCTGGCATTTTCCACTTCTTAATCCCATGTCACTTTACAGGAGGGACTGTCAGTCACTGATGAAAAGGTACTTGGGATTAACAGGGGGTGTTGATTATAGCTGTGTTGGTCTAAGGACACAGGCACATCTTTGGGTAGATGAACATCTTTTATCAGACCAACTGAATAGCTGGAAAAATTGTTCTTTGCAAGCTTTTGGGCACAAACACCCTTCTTCAGACATAGGGAGAGTCTGCTGTTGTTTTGTGTTCTCCGGGGTGGAATAGAAGCCAGTATGCAAAATGCAGGTCTGTGAAAATGCAAATGCATGGCAGTGAGGATCAGAGGGATGGGAGACAATAGGTGTGAGACAGGTAGGGGGTGGAGGGGTGGGGATGGGGATATTGACCTGGTGATAGAACATAACTGGTAAAATGCAGACAGGTTACCTGGGGTTATTGGGTGGCAGGTAGGTTGTAATGTGTCATAAAGCCAGTTTTAGTCCATAAAGCCAGATTTAGTCCATAAATCTACTGGGTACAAAAAAAATCATGAAGTGAAGTTCATAGGCTTGTCTGTGAAAGGTGTTTTGTAAATTCCCTTTGAGGTTTAGAACAGAGATTGGAGAGAGAGTGGTTGCCTTGTGAGAAGTGTGCACCCACAGGTAATTGGGTATTTTTGTCTTGGATAGATTTCCGGTGTGCGTTCATTCTGGTACGCAGTTGTTTGGTTTGTCCTATATACTGTGGCATTTAGTGCAGTGGATGAGAGATTACATTTCTGGAGGTGCAGCTGTAAGATCCAGGAGTGGTGATGGTTTTGTTAAGGGGTGTAGTTATTGTGGGAGTGGTGGAGATGTTGGCAGGCTTTGCATTTCTTGTCCCGGCATGGTCTGGATCCATTCAGTGTGTTTTGGGCCATAGGAAGTTTGCTTCTTGCTTCTTTTGAGAGTAGACAGGTTTGGTGCTTGTTTTAAAGGCTAGCATGGGTGCTTCTGGGGAGATCTCTTTAAGAATTGGGTCTTCTAGTATGGGTTGCAATTGTTTGAGATTAACATGCACTTTAGGGAAATTAATGTGCTAGAGAAGGAACAGTAACTTTCTTTTTTTTTTTTTTTTAATTTTTAATTTTTTTTTATTTACCCATTGGAAACTTTAAGACAAGGGTATGCTAGCTTCCAAACAATGCAAGATGCTTCCTGGTTCTAGCAAAATGTTTTAATTGCCACAGTTATGCCTATTGAGCCATAAATGACCTATACCAGTAAAAAAGTGAACTTGATACTGAAATTTTTCTCTTTCAGAATAAAGAATTTCTACAAGAAAAGATGTTGCAGAGAGCACCAACAATTACTGAACGATCCAAAAAGGTACCAAGATGCAGCCATTGGGAATTGACTGCCTCTGTTGAACAGTGATGTTTCAGTTCATATGCATCATTAGGTTAATTTTTTGCACCAATTATTAGTTAGCATGGCAATTAGTCTAGTCTAATACTTACTTATCCTTTGTCAAGTCCTCAACCAGCTTATCCAAGCTATGCACCACCTTGGATATTCTGACCGCTTTTTCCAAGCAACATTAATACTTCAAACTATCTGCTTCGTCTGGTAGCTCTTTGTCTTTTGTCCGAGCAGGTCCGGCGAGTCCCTGGTTCCAGCGGGCGGCTTCATAAGACTGAGGATGGCGGCTGGGAGTGGAGTGATGATGAACTAGATGAAGAAAGCGAGGAAGGCAGAGCGGCAATTTCACAGCTCAGGGTGAGCACACAGGCCTTGCGATGCTTGTATTTGCAGTGTGGGAGCACTTGAGGCCACAGCTGTTTCTATAAGTGCTATTTGTTTTTAGTAAGAGAGAAGCCTTGCCTTGAAGAGTTTACATCTGAATAGACAAGGTAACCTTGTCTGAGAAAAGTTTGACACGGCTGTATTGAGGCACAGAGCTTGCAACACACCAACGTAATGCAAGGAGTGTGTGGCAAAGCTGGAAACTAAATCCAGATCTCCTACAGCCCAGTTCAATGCTTTTAATGTTGTAGAGCGGGGATGGGCAAAGTCTGTCTGGTAGTGGACTCCATTTCCCAGAAGCCCCTGCTCATGCCACTGGGGCCAGTTTCCATGGAGACCCCAGCAGCAGCCAGTTGTGATAATGCTGGGCCGGGGTTTCTGTGGAGACCGGCCCCAGCAGTACTGGCAGGGCATGTGGCAAGGTGGGGAGCTGCTCTGGGGCCGGGCTGGGATCTTGTGGCAGTGGCAGCGTGGACCGGAGGTAGTGCAGAGTCGCAGTCTGCAGCCTGCATGCTCTGGGCAGGGGGGTGTCGACAGGGGGTCGCGACTCTGCCTCGGCTCCTTGCCGTGGTGACAGTGTGGTTCAGAGCCATGACCCCTGCCCAGAACATGCAAATATATATTTTTTTTTATATTTTTTTTAAATTTTTATTTTAATTGAAATTTTTTTTAAAATTTATTATTATTTCTTTTTTTTGCAACTGCATCCTGTTGCTAACTGATGTTTAGTTCATGATCTCCCACAGGGGTAGGCAGCCTCCAGCACATGTGCCAGTGTGACATGTGAAAGCATTTGGTTGGCACCTGAGCCTTGGGGCAGGTGGCGGGGAAGGGGGTCAGGGTTTTGCTGTCACAACAAGGATCAAGCCCCTCATGGCTCCTCTGCCATCCACCCTGGCACACCAGCATTTTACACCTTTATTTATGGGTGGTTTTGGCACTCTGCCAAAAAACATTGCCAACCTCTGATCTACCAAAACCCCAAGACCCTTTTGGCAATTTTGCGCCATCCAGTTATCTTCCCTTACGTATGTTTGCTTTTAATTATTCTTCCTTAGGTGTGGCATCTTGCATTTGTCTACATTGAACTTCATCCTGTTGCTTCTAGCCCAGCTTTGCAACCAGTCAAGATCCCTGTGAATTCTCCTCCTCTCCTCCAGTGTGTTCAGTCCTCTCCAGTTGTCATCTACAAATTGGTTCCAGAAACTCTCAATCCTGGCATTAAAATAATTAACACGTTAAATAGCACCAGACACAGGACAGACCCCTGTGGACCCCATTTGAAACCTGCCATTCTGACATGGATTCATTTATAATTACCCTTTGCTTGAGGTTGAGACAACAAGATGGGTAATGATTATAAGTCCACAGTTCTTCAACTTGCTTTTGAGTAGGTCATGTAGGATTTTATCAAAACCCTCACTAAAGTACAAGTAGACAACTTATACTTCCACAAGAGGAGGCCGAGAGGGGATCTGGTGGCCGTTTACAAATTCACCAGGGGGACCAGGAAGAATTGGGGGAGGCTTTGATCCCCTGGGGTTACTAGGAATAATGGTCACAAATTGTTAGAGAGTAGGTTCAGGCTGGACATCAGGAGACATTACTTTACAGTCAGAGCTGCCAAGGGAGGTGGTACTCTCTCCTACCTTGAGGGTCTTCAAGGGCAGGCTGGACAGATATTTGGCTGAGGTGATATAACCCTGGCACCTGTTCCTGCCTGGGGCAGGGGGTCAGACCTGATGATCTGTTTAGGTCCCTCCTGACCCTAAGCACTATGACACTATGATACAACTTGTTCTTAATTCCATGCTGCCTGCTCATGATCAACCTTCCCCCCTCTAGGTGCTTGCAAATTGACTTCTTTGTAATTTGTTCCAGTAAGTTCCCAAGTGGACTTGACTGTACATAATTCCCTGGATCTGCCTGTTTGCCCCACTCCCCTTTAAAAGAAAAAAGGGGGGGCACTATGTTGACCTTTTTTTTCAGTCCTCTGGAACATCATCCATCTTCCACAGCTTTGTAAATATTGTCTGGGTCGCTGAGATCCCTTCTGCCAGTTCTGTTACAACCCTGGGATGAAATAGAGTTGGGTAATTGACTGGTCAAAAATTCAGTAAAAGATACCTGTAAAACGCCCCCCCCCCAAAAAAAAAACAAAAACAAAACAAAGGCCCAGTGGGTCCAAATAATACACAGAAAAAGCACAAATTTTCCATTAAGAAATGTTAAAAATCTTATCTCTGTTAAGAAAACTACTAGCTTTTTCATAAAATTGTTATAATCTTTGCCCAGTCAAAAAAATATGTGGTCAGTTGATTAGATTGCCAACCCTGGGAGGAAGTGCCTCAGGCTCTGCTGGCTTAAGTTCGTTCAAATGCATCAAAAGTTTTCTAATGCTTCATTTCATTATCATGACCCTTGGCCTTTCCCTTTCCGTGTTTATATAATTTTTGTTAGTCATCTCTTTGTGGCTTTTTTTTGTGAAGGCTGAGCCAGTATAGTTGTTTAGTAGCTCTGCCTTTTGCATCCTCTGTTAATAGCTCATCCTCTTAACAGCAACGGACCCATACTTTCCTTAATTTTTCTTTTCTGACCAGCGTATTTATAGAACCTCTTCCTGTTGTCCTCAACTTCCCTTCCTGGATATAATTCACTTTTTGTACCTTTGCCTCCCTGATTCTGTTCCTGGAAATTCATCTTTTTCTCAGTATGATTTCTTGGTGATTTTTGCCCTTCCTCCCATTGCCTGTATGTTTTTTTCCTTTTGATTTTGAGGCACCAAGAAGCAACCTGTATGGCCACACTGGTCTCCTTCCATTCTTGTGCTTCCATTGTGTTGGAATAGCTTCTTGCTGAGCTTCCAATACTGTGCCCTTTAGAAACTGCCAGGCCTTGTGGGCCCCACTTATCCTTCAGCTTGTCCTCTCATGATATCTAGGCTATTATTTCTGAGCTGGTTGAAATCCACCCTCTTGAAATCCAGTGTTAACTCCTGCTAACCTCCTGCTTTATCCATCTTTGAATCATGAGTTCTAGTATGTCATGGTTACTTACTCCCAAGTTTCCCATCACCATTGCATCCTTAACCAATTCTTTCCTACTGGTATGTTTATCATATCACCAGGGATGTTGAATATATGGCCCCTGGGCTTGATCCAGCCTTTGGAGCCATGTTATCCAGGCTATGGGTCTCTGGACTGATTCCACGCACGACATGGGACAGTCCCTGGCCCCACGTGTGCAGGATGCTCTGCCTCATGCAACATTGCATGGGGTCAGTCTGGGGCACATGCTGCATGCAGCACCTGTGCCAAACCAACTCTGCACGCTGCCTCCTAGGCACGGTCAAATCAGGCAGTGTCAGAACCTGCACACAGGGCTAATGCGACACTATGCCACATGCATTGTGCTTTGTGCTTGGTCCCCTGTACCCAGTGCAGCATGTGTGGCCAGCCCAGCCCCTCATGCATCAGTCCCAGGGTTCTCTCTTCCCCTGGTGCCTGGCTGCACCCCATGCTGCACACAGCACAGGGAGTCTGGTGCACAGCTTGCATTCAGTGCTCCACCATACTGGACTTGTGTGCTGGTTCTGGCATGCATGGGTGACCTGGAGCCTGATCTGGAGCCAGCTCCCAGGCCCCTGTGCTGTGGGGCTGGCATGTGCTGCATGTGGAGCACGAGCTGGGCCCAGGACTGTGAGCACTGCCACACACAGCACGGGGGGGGTCGGTCCCAATCCAGTAACCCTCATCTAATCCATAGGCCTTGATGAGTTTGACACCCTGACACAGACATTTGCTTGAGTCTTTTCTTGAAGGCAATCATAATGTGAACAGCACAAATAGAAAAAAAAAATTGTTTTATTTTCCAGTAGCAGAGTAAAAAAAAAAAAGGAATGTGTCCATTGCTTCAACTGTGGCTAAGAACAGTGAGGTGCTTTTTCTTAGGAACCTTTGTCCTCTTAGCTTGGTGGTGGTGCCCGTTGCTCAGACTTTTCACAGCTTAGCGGTTGCCTTAGGGTACTTTATATCTTCTAAAATCTTGATGAACATGTTAATACGGCCTTGTTTCTGTGCGATTGATGAATGAGTATTACCTCAATGTTATTGACAGGCAAGGCTTAGCTCCTCTTCTGCTCAGAGCACACCTTTAGCCAGAGGCATAACTGGGAATTTTGGTGCCTAGGAGGGCAAAGGGGGCCTTGCAGAGTGGGGAGAGTCTTGCCACAGACTCAGACTCTGAAGGCTTCTGCTGCTACCTGGCCTCTCCACACACAAGCAATGCTGGCCACTTCTGTAGCTGTGCAGGCTGCTCTGAGGCTGCCATTCTGATACCCCCTCTAAATAGGTGGCTGGGGCTGGTGCCCTGCTTGCCTACCCATAGTTACACTGCTGCCTTTATCTCAGGGGTGGGCAAAATATGGCCTGGGTGCTGGATCTGGCCTACCAGGCCGTTCTATCCAGCCCATGGGGCCCCTAAAAAAAATGTAGAAAATGAATATTTATTTACTCCTGGCTGCCTGTCAAAGACGACAGGAGCCAGGGGCAGTAGGAACTAGGGGAAGCCAGCGGCAGGGCCCAGCAGCAAAGATCCCCCAGCCCCACCCCTCCCAACCAGAAGCCCCTGCCTAGCAGAGGCTTCTAGTCTGGGACTGTGGGGCTGTTCCTGCTTCCCTGTGCTGGAGACGGAAATGTGGTCCTCAACAGCTTGCCAAAACTCGGTAAGCGTCCCCCTGTCCAAAATAATTGCCCGCCACTGCTTTATCTATATGTTCTAGTATGGTCCATGCTCATCCTCTTGAGCCACCAGATCTGTACATTAATTACAGAGTTTCTACCTTGCCATTATGGAAAGCTTAATACAGAGCCTCCAGGCTAGGGAGGGGGGGTATAAGGGTGTGCATATGTGTATGTGTGTGTGTGCATGCACATGTAGAAGTGCAGAACTCTTGGTTCAGAGATGATAATTTTTTTCAATGTGGTCTAATAAAAGATATCTTTTTTTGCAAGCTTGCAGAAAAGACCCTTTTTTTGTGATTTCTTAGTTGGTCTAATAAAATGTATCTTCTCTGAACCAAGAGTTCTAGAGTTTTGCATTTCTTTTTGTTTGCTGCCAAATACAATCCTGTGCACATGTACACACTTTTATCCTTTTGTGCTTGTACGTGGTAGTGTTTAAGCAGGCAGGTTTTACACAAACTAATTCCTGGGAGGGCAGGTTTTATATATCAGGAAGTGAATGAGATTTGTTTTCTAGTGAAGTTCCAAATTGATTTGCCTTGCATATCTTTTTAGGAGCTGGAGTTGCTTGAAGCAAACTTTCATCCTAGTGCACTTAATTCAGTCCGGATCTGAACAGAGTAGTCTTTGTTAATAGTAGATTTCTTTGCCAGTAAAGAACTGTCATGGTTTCTATTTATGTTATCGTGTAGAAATCTGCTCTATAAGTAACACGTGATGGCAGTGTGTTTCTGTGGAGTCCATCGCAACGAGGATGCTGACAAATGATGTGTTTTTATTGGTGTTTTGCATTTTACTATGTAGATAAAAGTAAAAACACAGACACATTGTTGTGCATTTAGTGGAGTCCACATGGATGCATGATAGCTCCTGGCTAGCCAATAAGGCTTTTGTCAAACCATTGATGATAATACCAGATATTTTTTTTCTTTTATAGTCCCCCAGAGTGAAAGAATCATTACAGAATTCTGAGGTAAGTTGTTCTAATTGAAAAATATTTTTCTTTGTATTGGACTTCCTAGTCTTTGGTAGTATTACAAGGAATGTGGTTTTGTTTGTTTGTTGTTTTTTTTTTTTTAATTGACTTCTAAAGCAATGTCACCAAGCCTTGGAAATTTCCTAAGATGTTGAGTCATTGGCGATTTAATTCTAAGAGGCCTCTTTCCACTAACTTGAATGAATGTTTATGGGAAATATCTTCTTCAATTTCACTTATCACATCCCAGAGGTATTTGGTATTGGATGGCGGATTAGTTGCTCTGTCCAACCTCTCTCATGAGCGTCTTCTCAGGTTTTCTAGTCTAGCAAGGTCTTCAAGATGATTGTCACTGCTTGCCAGTTTGGAGTTTGAATCTATTATTTCTGTCCTCCCATCCACACAATTTAGAGAAAGTGACAGTTTCTCAGGAGCTGATCCGACTAATTGTCAGAGACACTAAAAGAGGTCTTCAGTAAGTACCATATTTACCTGAACCAAGGTGACTTCAAATTTCAGATGACCCCCCAATAATTAGATTCTATATGTGGAAGATTTATAAATTCTAAGATAATAAAAGGCTTAGTACTTCTGTCTGTCCATAACACTGGGGGCCAACTGCACATGCGCCCTGGAGAAGGCAGGCGGCAGTTGGCTTCATGGGCCCTGCCCCCTCAGGCAGGGAGCCAGAGGCAGAGGGAGCCCTTAGGCTTTAAAACTGTATTGACTTGCCCCAGCTCCTGTCAAAGCTGATAGGAGTCAGGGGCAGTAGGACCCAGGAAGAGCCTTAGCAGGACTGATCAGCGCAGCCCGCCCCACCCCAGCAATTGAATTCCTTGCCTACCGGCACCATGTGGCTCCGCTGCACTGGAGGAGCGGGGGCATGGAGCTGCCAGGGGATGGGCAGGTGTGGGAGTGGGGGGGGGGAGGGTCTGGTGTTGGGTGTGTGTTGTCTGCAGCCAGGGGCAGAGTGCGTGGGGGTGTGTGTGTGCCTGCAGCCAGGGGCAGAGTGCACGGGTGAGTTTGGTTGTAGACCCAGGGGCTGGGTGTGTGGGTGTGTGTGGGCAGCCAGGGGCAGAGTGGTTGGGGGTGGGTGCGTGTGTTCATAGAATGAGTCCCACACGCTGTCCCCACCATGCACATGCACCCACACTCCCCTTGCACTGCCATACATGCTGACCCCCACATGCACACCCCCTCACACAGCACAGGTACCCTCACCCCATACCCATCCACACCCCACATATCCACACACATTCACATGCTCCCTCACCCCACGTACCTATACCTACCCCTCACAATATACAGGATTAAAACTTTGTGTTAAGCTATTGTGTGATCACCTCTGTGGACATTACACAAACGCATGTAAATCGCGGCAAAAATATTTTTTGAAATCAAATTAATGAATGCTGTAGATGTCTCCTTTTTTGAATATAACTTGGTATTTTGCTGGTTTTGAGATGGCACAACCCCTTGCTGAAAGGAGTACTTCTGGGGGCAAGGGGAGGAACTTCTGGTGGCCAAGGTCAGGGGTTAGGGGACGGGGACTTCTGGTCACAAGATGGTGACCAAGGGGTGGGGCATCTGCCAAGGGGCGGAGCTACCCATGCAGCCTTTGACAGCTTGCCAAAACTCGGTAAGTGGCCCTCCGCCCGAAATAATTGCCTGCCCCTGGTTTTACATGGCCGACCCCAAAGGGTGAGTGGTGGGGGCATGTAAGGCCTCCCTGAAATATTGTCATTCATGACGGGCAATTGGCTAGTTTGTTATCATTTTCCATGCATAAAATATAATTATTGAAGGGTTGTCTTAAATGCGTTCCTCCTACTGCTGCAGCAGGGAAAGCAGCAGGGCTGCAGGTGGTCTTAGCTCTGTGTCCCTTCCCTCCTGGGTATGGAGGACACGGAAGCCCTGGCTCCTGACCAGCCATGCCACGGCCATAGCCGCAGCTCCAGTCCTGGGATGCTGCTGCGTGGCTGGGCACGGAGCGTCCATGTGTCTTGTGCCCAGGAGCGAATGGAGCTGGAGCTGTGCATAAGTGTTACCAGGATCTCTGATCTAGTAGCAAAAGAGCTTTCTGGCTGACTCTTTTTTCTTCTAGTACTACTGATTTCCTTTCCTAGGCATACAGGGTGATAGTTCTGCAACACACACCGGGCTATCTAGGGTTAGATGCTCCTGTTCTAACTCTGGTTGTAGCCAAGAACTTTAATCGATTGTGAAGAAATCCCATGAGCTTCTCAAAAAGCTTTTAGCTACAGTAACTCATGTTGCATTTGCCATTCTCCCCTGGAGAATTGATTCAGGTTTTTGCCGCTTCCTTTTCAACCAGCTAGGGACTAACATGTTAAATATACCTCCAGTCCCAGTGATGCTGTACTCTGAAAGTGTCCTTGGTTTGAATTACTTCTCCATTGAGTGCCTGACTCCTACATCTTGGTAAATACTCAAGTCATGTTTATTTGGAAGCAGATAATGATCTACAAATATTTAAATTTGCTTTGTTGCATGTGTGTTCCCTTAGAGGAATTTCAAACCAGTTTTTTCATAGGGTTGCACACGAGGCTGACCTGATGGCTTGGCATTTGGGAAACGGCATTGTTGCTTGCATTCCCAGAAAACAGAGCCTAAAGGATGTGGTTTTGTCTTTCAGGAATGATGACAGGTTGTATTGTAGGGTGCTGCACAAAGTGGCTATAACACCACTTTCTTGTCCAAAGTCCACACTAGTAGAGCAGCCAAACGTTTCAGGGTGGAGAGGGTTAATCCTCTCCCAGAATGTGGAGATTCAGAGAGCCCCTCGCCTCCCGTCTGCATGGCTCCTTTATGCCTTGAAGGCATGGAAGTCTTTTTGGATATAAACCCTGTAGTAGTTGGTTCAGCCAGTGGGGCCTCCATGCAGTCCCTGCACAGCTGCCTGCTCCCCATGCAGTTCTTTCTAATTTTAAGCCCCTTTCTCTTTGTAGCTGTTCCCATCAGCCGAGCCCACCGGTCCTTTACTCCACGTTCCAGCACAGACCCCTGCTCAACTACCTCAGGCAGCAGGACAAGCACCTGCACAACCTTCTCAAGTTGCTGCTCCTCCACCTACTCAGGCTCCCGCAGCAGCTCCAGCAGCGGGGCAGGTAAGTCTAAAAACCTTTCATCCCAGCATGCTCTTTAGTAGTAGACCACGTGTGTGAAGTCAGTCACCCAAAGAGCTTGCTAACGTCATGAAAGCAGCCTTATGGTGAATAGCATTTTTGTTGCTTATGGGCTATATAACTCATCTTGATGGCTTTGCGGGTGGTGCAGCGGGGGCTTGCTCTTCCTTGGAGCTCCTTCTTTTTGGGGTCGTGTTTTGTTAGACTCTGAGGAAGGAATAAGATAATAACAGATGGCGGAGGAACAACTGCCTTGTTTCTGGTGGTTAAAGAGGAACATTGACAGGGCTCTGAATTGAGCAGACCTCTTGGTAGCATCAGAGCCTTGAGGGGAGATAGGAGGCTTCAGAGCAAGGCCCGGTCAAAAGAACTTTTCTAGGAGGTAAAGAAGTAAATTGATTTCTTAGATCCAGGAGGAGGACCTGCCAAAACCAACCATTCCTGGGATACTTGGAACTTGTCTTGTGGTTGGCTGGCTTGCAGTGCAGCTGAGCTTGCCAGACTACTGAATGGCAATGGTACATCCATATAAAAGACAGTAATGTTTGTGCTTGCAGTTGGAAAGAGGCATTTAATGTTGGAGAGGGTAAATCTGGCATGATCTGTGGGCCAACCCATGGGGAAGAGGTTTGGCAGTTAGTCATAAAACTAGCACTCTGGGCTTCTCTTTCCTAGAGACTTTTCACTCAACCCCTGTCCTCATTTTAGTACAACCTATTACCGACAGCCTGTTACTCTTCTATAAAAATAGTGGTGTGCAGAGCTGATGTTTACTTGGCTGCCTTGCACTACAGCTCTGGTGCTTGAATCAGAGCCATGGACACCTTCTCAATAGGGCATTTAGACTCTGGTTTTTCAGGAGTGCTGAGGGCTGGTGGAAGCACCATTGATCATTGTGAGCACAGCCCTTAGTCTAAAGGAACAGCTCTTGACTGACTGCAGTGAAACCATCTAATTTCATTTTAGTTTAAATTAATTTCATTTAATTCATTGCATATGTCAATGATAGAGCTCGGTGTAACTCTCCATTTCTCAGCCAAGAGCTAATTTTCATGTTATGCAAACGAGGGAGTGTGGTTGAGATATGAAAAGGACTTGGGGAAATTTTCTGTGCTTAAATTGTCACCCATTGCAAGTTAAAGCCTCTTGCTCAGCATGTGAAATACAGACCAAGACTTCAACAATGAAAGAACAAGCCACTTATTATTAAACAGTATATCCTTTTGCTTAAAAAAAAAAAAAAAAGAAAAAGACCACTAGGACTATAAACATCTGGACACAGATGACTGAACTGGGTGAAGTAAGGCCAGACGGCAGACACCAATTATTACTCAAAGTCTTTTCAGAATACAAAACAGGCAGATACAAACCAGTTCTGAAATATTTTTAAATCCGTTCAGTTGGGTTTCTTTAATCGGACATTCAGCATGGTGTGTTCAAATAAAAGCAAACCATCATCCTAATAATGTTGAAATGTTTTCTCTGGGTTGTAGATAAAATAACACCCCGTCTGGTTTAGGAGCGCAGAGGTTCCATTGCAAGCTGGGTTTCCAAGTCATCTAGGCATGTTGTAAAACTTTGCCCTGTATCTTTAAAGAAAATCTGCCAGAGAATTTGAACCAGGGCATGGGGAATCTGTCACGAGCTCAAAAACCTGAAATCTGCAACCTTGCCTTAAAAATTATCTCAAACTTGTGCAGGAAAAGCATTGGAAACCACTCCAGAAGCCTCTAGTCTATGTCTGGTATATCTAACAGGAAAATAAATGCTGTACTATAGATTTTGTCTGGAAACAGTCCAGACAAGGCCATTTATTCTAAACATTGCTCCGATACAGGTCACCTGCCCTCTAGCTCCCACACTGTTCTGGTTTTCGTTGTGCTGTCAGTACTCCGGTGTTGTGTGGCATTTGAAACTTGTATGGTATCCAGTACTTGCGTGTGTATGCTTTAAAAATGATCCAATCCTATTGTAGGTACCACCTGCTCCTGTTCCAGCCCCAGCACAGGAGGATACAAACGTCCCAATCAGTCTTGTACTAAGGTTAAGGTAAGCCCACTGCTGTGAATTGGGGGAGCTGTTAAAAAGCAGGCTTTGTAAACTAGTGGCTGGGGCATGAGCTGCAAAGCTAGAGAATCCCTGAGTTTTAATCTTGGCTTTATCACTGAAATGGGGAAGCTGGTTAAATGACTGTCAAGGGAACCCCGTCTGTAGAACAGGGATAAGTGTGCCTACCTACTCAGATGGGTGCAGTGAAACTGGAGTGTTCACAAAGTGCTCTAAAGTGTCATTGATCTTTGTAGGAGGTCACGCTATCTGCCTCTCCCCTGATTGCAGTGGATGGCTGGTGCCATATGTTGCTTGCTACCTTAGAGTTTATCCTCTCTCCCTCACTGGGACTCAGAAAAGCATCATTTGACTCCCAGCTGGGAGGGCCAAATTTCTCCGTACTCACGCTCCCTCCTATAAGCTTTGTGAATTCTAGAGCCTGAAAGGTACCCTGGTATTTTGTATCCTTTCCAAACTGTATGTGGATCAGGTAAGACCGAATTCTGGGATTCAGGGAGTCCTGGGATCCTGTGTGCCTCGCTCGTTAAAGAGGATGGCATCTGGCACCTCGGCTCACGTGGAGGGTCTCAGCTGCGGTGGAATGCTGTGTTGCCCTGCTGGGACTCGCGTGAGTAGCTGCCAGCAGTTTGCTCAAGAGACCCGACATGGAGTAATTAAACTGCTCTGTTTGGCTTATCCAAACATGACTGTATAATTCTGGTAAGCCTGAAAAACAAAACCTTTCTCCAGTTCAGCAGATGACAATATCACCTTATTTATAGTTTCCTCCCCTAATGTAGATGGAGCCCCTCTAGAGCTCTGGGAACATGAAAGACCTACTTAAAACACGAAATAAATTGGCAATATTAACAACATCAGTAAAGAACCTCCTTTGCCTCCTGAGAAGGCTGCTGGGAGAAATGTGGTCTCCGAGATCTAACCCTCGCACAAACTTGGTGACAGCATCAAGCAGATAGTTTAATCTCTGTGCTTCAGTTCCTTTCCTACAAAATGGGGGGTACTTCCTTACCTCACAAGGATAGACTCCAAGGATGATTCCCTTGCCCACATGAATAGGTTCAGATACAGGAGAGAAGCTCTGGCTGTGTCAGAGCTTGGCAGGGCTCAGGGAGGAGGAGATGACCACCCCACCCTCTGCAGGGGTTGTGTGCTTCAAGGTTTTGGATAAAGGTAGCTGGCATCTTTTGAAATGAAAACATCCATTTACCATTTTTTTAAAAGCTGAATCTTGAAAGAGAAGCCTTTTAACTGGACTTCAGAGCCCCGCAGCAGTCTGGAATGCGCTCTGCATAACGTCTGCTTCCATGTCTTATTCTTGTAATGCTCTGTTCTTTCCATAGAAATTCAAAGAAAGAACTCAACGACATTCGGTTTGAGTTTACCCCAGGGAGAGGTGAGTAGATGGGAGGGTGGAGCCCACCTTTGTTAAAAGCGTACTTTATATCCAGACATCCATGATACGGAAAAGGAGCATGCTTTTAAAGTAAATCTCTTCTTGTAAAACCATGAAAGTTTGACCCTCAGTAAAAACTCAGCGCAGCATTTGACCATGTGGTCAAGCAGTCGGCCTGCTTGGATCAAGGCGGAATGAATACCAGCCTCTGGCTTCTTTACTATTCAGTCCATCCAGGAAGAGCACAGACCAACTGCAGATGTGTCCTTAGCCTGACAAAGGGTAATTATACCCGAAAGCTTGCAAAGAAGAATTTTTCCAACTATTTGAGTTGGTCTAATAAAAGATATATCAGATTTACTCAAAGAACCTGATCTGCCTATGTCCTTAGACCAACACTGCTACAACCCACACCCCTGAAATGTCTTAGCACTGGTGTTCTCCAGGGCAGTTGCCTCCCTATCGCAGATAAAACCACTATAACGTGAGCCATTGGGGTTTCTTGTGCCTCAATACTGACTTTGCAGGCTGCTAGGCTACCTCCCTCAAGCTTGACAGTTCTGGGTGTTCCCATAAGACCCCAGGATAATTGAAATGGGGTAAAATAATACCTATCTGCCTCCTAGGATTGAGGGGTAAGGGGCACATTGACTGAACTCTTGCAATGACCTTGAACTTGCCTGAATACCTACCATTACAGTGTTATCTGCTTCGGACACCTGTGGGTAATTTGGGCAGCCATTTAATGGTGAAACTTTTTTTGCCAAATACAGTTGATTTCTACATTAAAAGCACTGTGTGTTCCAAATTGCAGCTAGTTTGTGCTGAACAGCCTGGCTTAGCTGTTCTCACCTTTCCAAGGCAAGATGTAGTCTGCTTTGCTAGCTGCTTTGCACTGTATGAAGGCTTGTTCCTTGTTAATTGGAACTGGGGTAGATGCAGTTACTCATATCTGTGCTGCCCAGGAGATTGGTAAACATTTGCAGCTGCAGACCATGTCTGGGAAAAGGAAAGCTCTCGGCCTCGGGGCTTGCAGGACTCATCAACTGCTACGCGTGTCAGTCGGTCGCCTGGCTGACAGTCAAGCCTGCTTTGTGTCTTACTGTTCCAGGTTCAGGTTAGAAATGAAGCCAGACTCATTGCTGTTGTTTCATAATATGACCAGATAATGACTTTTCTAGCTTCTCTGATGCCACAAATTTTTCTTCTGACATACATGTTTTAGGATTTTTAAATTATAAAGCTTTCATTAGCAACCTAGAAAATGTAACTTGGTGAAACAGTCTTCACATAACTAATGTTCATCATGTCTGTCTTGCATAAATTGTAATATTTGCCATTCCTTTAACTAGAGACCATAGCTTCTTTCCAGATGTTTGCCTCCTACTTCGTATGGCTTAGTGAGAAACTTGTTTTTAGTGATATAGCTATACCCCTCTTGTCTGACTCAGTATATGGTGTTCAAGACCTGTTGTACAGTGAACTGAATGGTTCTTAACTTTACCCCTGACAGATACTGCTGACGGTGTGTCCCAGGAACTCATCTCGGCTGGTCTTGTGGATGGCAGAGATCTAGTCATAGGTAATTAATTACAAGTGTTCCTGTAATATTTCTCTGTCTTGGACCATCTTTGCATGTGGAGAAGAGAGAGGCTAGGGAAAGCAGTAGGCCTCCAGGAAAGCTTCTCTTGCAATTGTTCTGTTCCCTATTCTGTGCTCAGTGTTACTTCCAAAGGAATTTTGCCACTGGGCAGATTTGAGCTCCATGGCTCTCAAAGACCATAACCTGTTCAGACAAAATATTGGAGAAAATGGTCTTTGTATTATAACTTCAGGACAGATAAAAGTAAGCCGGGGTTTGGACACCATTCGTTTATAGGAACCTGAGCTCAAAACAGTTGCTAGTGTCACTAGCGAGGAAAAAGTGGCTTCACTTAACCCCTAATGGTTGTTGGTGAACATTATCAGTCCACTGTTTTAGTTCTGAACCACCAGCCCCAGACCCCAGCGTCTGGAAATACTGGCAATGAGACATTAGCCCAAGTTATGGGTACAGTTCAGACAACTCGATACCCCAAATGGGCACAAAACTGCCCCCTCAGAAGGACACTGCTTTTCAGAGCTGAGCCACAACAGTTGTACAAATGAAAGATGTAAATGAGGCAATTCCTTGGCATAGTTATGGGATTCTATTTCATACCAGCCCTTGTATCTTTAAAGCTTGCTTAGTATGAGTAAGGTTGAAGAAACAAGGATTCAGTGCAGGGGTGTCATATTGGTTAGCCCCTGACACTAGATCCAGATTGCCACTCCTGAGCTGGATCTGGCCCCTGCTCTGAGTGGGGGTCATGGAGCTGTGGAGGTTAACGCAGCCATCGCTTGCCCTCTGCTGTTGACACGCATCCCGAGCGGGGCTCTGTACTTCCGATTTCAGCAGCAGCCCCCACCCCTACTAACCCTGCCACTGAAATCTTGATCCGTCCAAAAGCCCCGCGGGCCAGGTAGCACTAGTTTGTGGACTGTGTATGTTTGAAACCCCTGGTCTATTGGGATAAGAATGAGGGCTGTTTTTAACCTTGACTGTCCTAACGCCTGCCTGTGGTTGTGTGTGCTTTCAGTTGCAGCTAATTTGCAGAAAATCGTGGAAGAGCCCCAGGCAAACAGATCCGTCACTTTCAGACTGGTATTTATTCCCGCTCCCTTATTAAGCAAATTGTTGTTTACGTGTATACACATTTAATGGCAAACTTCCCTCATCCTAGTGACTAGGAGCATTGAAATATTATGTTGGTGTTATCTGCTCAGGAAAAAGCCACGTGTCCAGGCAGATCAGAAAGGTTTTGGCCAAGGAGGTGGATTTAGAGGTGCTGTGGGCTCCTGTACAAGAGGAGATGGGGAGGTTACTGGCTATTTTGTGTTGAGATAGAAGAGAGAGTAAGAAAGGCCAAGTGAAGAGGGGTTTGGGGGTTTAGGAAGGCCCTTGATTTTCCTACAAAGGCAACAACGAAGGATTCTTGCAAAGAGGTGGTGAAATCCAGAATGGCTAATGGGGGGGGAGAAAGGGTGTTGATGAGAGAGTGAAGGTGAGCCACTAAATACAGGGGATTCTTAGGAGTACTGGCTGCATGTTTCACCCCAATTAAAACATTAGCTGCGTAGTGAGTGAGCCCTGGCAAAACTCAGTCCCAGCTCTTCAGCACCAGAAGATGCACATATTTAAATGTAAATACTGCCATCTGCTGAATACAACCTAGGGCTTCCCTGTCCTTGCTCCCTCCCCAGACTCTGACATGCCTCCTCGTGCTATAAATAATGCATAACATAATACTCTTTAATTTTCTCCCCCGTTGTGCTCCAGGCATCTGGCGTCGAAGGCTCCGATATTCCTGATGATGGCAAACTTATAGGATTTGCACAGCTCAGCATCAGCTAAACTACAGCGCCAGGCAGTTTCCCTACTGAGAATCCACATGTGCATATTTCTAATGCTTCTGTTGGCCTAAAAAAACAAACAAACCACTACTGCCAAAGAATTGAACTGCAGCCCCCTTTCTAGGAGCTTTAACAGTTTTCCTAAACAGGATCGCAAACCTTCCTGAAATTACCAATGCCGTTTACAGCTTTTGTAAACCACTCTTGTCCGTGTTTGAATCTCCTTCATCTCAGACGTGCAGATCCAACACTTCATTGCCTGCGTGTTCATTTTATTATTGCCTTACTTTAAAGGAAAGAAAAAGAAAATACTACTGAGTACGAAACAGGGGTTCCACTGCTCTAATTAGCTAGCCTCCATGTTTGCCGACATGCGGTTTCATGTGTGTCCTTTGCTATCTTTGCACACGCTTAACACTGAAGGGACTTTTTATGTTGCTGTTAGACCTGCTTCTCTTTGCATTTGAAATACCAGTGTAAATGTTGGTTGGTCACTTGGGATGCTAGAAATCTGGCTTCTGGCCGGCTGTGTTGTTGCAACCCAGCTGGTTTGAATGCTGGTGCCTAAGAAAGTGAGCCGAGCCTTAACTGTAAGAGGGCTAACATTTTCCTTTTTTTTTGTAATCGCACTGTTGAGAGGTTCCTTGAAATCAGTGTCCTGGGAGCAAACATCAGTTCTTCTGCCCCTTTGTAAACTGCTGATAGCCTTAATTTTTCTTTCTTTGCTTTGTTCCACATTAGCGTCATATATGGCATGGGGCAGATCATCTTAATTTCCCACATGCTGGTTCTTGCTCAGAGGGTGTCCTTGGACTACGTGTGAGGCTGTAGAATCCTTCTTAAAGCAGAGCTGCGAGGCAGCGCTCTCCACAGGCTGATCTTGCAGGTGATCAATAATACCAAAACGTGACAGGGGAAAAGAAAATCCATACCACTCAGCATTTGGAAAGCATGCGTGTTGAATTTATTCTTTAAAACATAATACCTTTTGCTTGATGATGAGAATCCTCCATGCACTTCCGTGTTCTTTGCAAACAGGTACATGTGGAACCATCCTTGTTCTGGTTTTTACAGCAATAAAAACTGCCAGTAGAATAGTACTAGGCAAGCAATCTCTGGACCTTGCGTCCCTCCTGCACTAATTGCTTGGGTTTTCAGATCACTGCTCAATCCAAGCGGCCAAGTTTTGATCAGGATGTTGCCGAAACCACGTTAACTCGCATTTAGGTTTTTCTTTGTATGTGGTGTTTTGAATTTGAATTTCTACATAAATAATATAAATTATACTTTGAGTTTAAAAAGAGACACTTGTAATGCAATATGTGAATAATAAATGGTGTTGATCTTTTTTTTTTTCCCCCCTTCTTCCTACTGTTTCACATTTGGCCTTTGTATCTGCTCTTGACTTAGAAGTGTTTTATACAATGAAACTGTAAGCCTGTAATTTAACACAGCTATGGAAATGTATTTCTCTTTCCATCCATTGCAAACCATACAGAAATGAAGTGTTAAAAATGGGACACCTGGGTTCAATTAGGACTTTTTTTTATTTCCAAGTCTTCTACTGAACAATATATATTTATATATTTTCTCTATGAGCAGCTATGGAAGCTTCTTAAATTTTGCATGGTTTTTTATACTGCACTCGTTTCTTTAACCTGTAGTTTAAAATCGGAGATCTCCCAACTGGCACTACCAGTTAAGCACAACCCTGTTACTTCCTAAGTGCAAAGGGGAGGGCATCGGCATGGGGTGAGGGGAAGAGGGTGAGAGACCCCTTCCTCTCCCATCAGCCTCCAGATTCTGAGCTTGAGACCTATCACCGGAGTGGAAAGCACACGGCACAGATGTCCGCAGAATAACGGGTGGCTAGTTTGGGGCTCGAGTGTGCGTGTGCATGTGTGTGTGCGTGTTACAAGTTTCGGCACTTTCGCCTTCTTTTGTGTGATACACAGCACCCGAATAGCTTCTCTTTTAAGTACTTGTTGGCTTTGGAAGAGCAGGCTGCAAACTACACTTCCGTGAAGCCCAGTGGGCAAGAGCTACTTGGAATATGGAGACCAAATAGTCTTGGTACAGTATTACTTTACTTATGCCTGCATGCCATGCATACCTCATTGTTCATTTGCGCACTGGTGCTGAGAGATGTAGGAGTCAAACTGCTCAAATGAAACAATGCAGTATCTATTTATTAAATGAATCCTGCCCCACCTCGATATAAGACTAGTAAAGAGCACGAGTTCACACTGACCCCTCGGTCTCCTTTCCCCCCCTTTCTTTCTAAATGAATAAAGAAAAAAAGCAACTCTAGTGTATTTGGTATTAGATCTCTAGACCTTTTTCTTGGTAGTGATCCAACATTTTGCTTGGGATACTACAGTGCTAGATTATTTTGGTTTCTGAGGTAATTAAAGTAAGTGCCAATGCTGTTCATTTAAAAAGATTTTTTTTTCCTAACGTCACAAATGGATTTAGGTTTTTTTGCTAAATTCCAAACCTAGAAGCAGGCAATATTTTTTTTTTTTTTTAATTTAGTCAATACTCTAAGGATAATGCTCTATTAATGAAACAGGTTCCTCTTCACAACTTTGGTGTATTGTAGATTATAATGAAAGATGTAAAATATTCCGCCTTTTTTTTCTTGATTTGACTTTGTATTTTACTGCATGTATCTCTAATTTTTAATCAATAAAGAACAAATTGTCCATTGCCATGAGCGAGGTGCCATTTTATCTCCAGAGAAGTTGGCTTGGGCATTGGTCTCGGAGCTGAGGTATGCGGCAGTCTTGGGTAATGGGATTCCACCGCATAGCTACACTTCAGTTTGCATCGGAGTATGCTTTCTCCTTCCTGAGCCTTCACTGGAGGTGGCTGGGGAAAGATGTACCCTTGCATGAAGGCTTCACATCTGCAATCCAGCCTAGACTTGCAGGCTACCTGGGGGTGTCCAGTCCTAGCCATAACAGCTAGCTCCATGTTAAGTGCTATGCAGTTGTGCATGTCTCTCATCTCCCTCCCTCAATCGGGGATACTTTAAATCTCAACTTGCAGCATGTTCTCAATGTTCACACTATTCGAAGCCTGCAGGGTACTTTCACTAGCCATCTCTGTTCTGTTTCTGCCTTAAAATACTGTTTGGCCCCCTCCACGGTAGAGATCTGACTGAGGAATGTGTGAGGGCTTCCCTTTAGTCTTGACTTTGCCTAAAATTTAATCATATAATCAGAAAATGAGGGCTGGAAGGGTCCTCAGGAGGTGAACTAGTCCAACCCCCTGCTCAAAGCAGGACCATCTCCAGCTAGATCATCCCATCCCAGCTGGGCCTTAAACACCTCCAAGGATGGAGATTCTGCCAGCTTTCTAGGTAACCTGTTCCTGTGCTTCACCACCCTCCTACTGAGAGTTTTCCTAATATCCAACCTAAACATCCCTTGCTGCAACTTGCTCCTGTCATCTGCCAGCACTGAGAACAGTCCAGCTCCATCCTCTTTGCAGCCCCCCTTCAGGTAGTTAAAGGCTGCTATTAAATCCCCCCTCGGTCTTCTCTGTTGCAGACTAAATAAGCCCAGTTCCCTCAGTCTCTCCTTTCTGTAAAATCCTCCTACTGTGAAGCATGCAGCAGCCAGGTTGTTTGTACCATCCTACGTACAGCTACATTTAATCATGTAATCCATCCTCTTTAGCCCCTAATGGCAGGGGTCTCCGCTGACAATTGTTCCAGCATGATCAACTGCAAAAGCGGTAGATGTCTGCTGTGAAAGGTTTTGTTTGAATGCAAGATTGCCAGGAAGGTGGCAATCTTGACAGCCGGTCAATAAAAATCTTATTGTAATGGTTTAAAGTTGTTACGATTATCCACCACAGCCGTTGTCATCTGTAACTAGTATTGTGTCATAGTTTACACTGTGACTTGACGCTGGTTAAACAGAGCGCCTGGGCAGCCTTGTGAAACCAGTCAATTTTTAACAGCGTCCTGTTCTACCTGCCTATGGATAGATAAACCTCATGTTATCACCCTCTTGCATTAAATACCTAGTGAGCAGAAAATTAAGGCTTAAATAACAGGGATATTGCTCTGTTATGGAGCAGACATGGCAGTTGACTTCCTAGTGTTGGTCTGGTTTTGCAAACCCTGGTGCTCCAACTAGAATCCAGTTCCTCGGACATACTGCTTCATCTCGGGGTAGAGATGGGGGCGGGCGGGTTGCTTTTTTGGTTTTGTTTTGTTTTTGTTCCTTGAAGTTTGGAAAATCATCAGAACTTTTTCAAAGTATGATTACAAAGAAGACAAAAGAGAATCCCCTCCATGGCCTTTTCAAATGGTTTGACTCCCAGGTCCAAGGGGCCCTGAGCCTATGGGGATTGTCGGTCCTCAGGTCAACCCCATGGATGCCGATGGGCTTTTTCACTCCCCAGGTCAACCCCATGTATGCCGATGGGCTTTTTCGCTCCACAGGTCCGCCCGCCCCTTGCATCGCAATGGGGACTTGCAGGCACCCCAGAGAATCCCCTTCATGGTCTTTTCAAATGGTTTGACTCCCAGGTCCAAGGGGCCCTGAGCTTTGCACTGCAGAATTTGGCTCTTAGCATTTCTGAGGACCATCTTATGCTTGGCTTTGAAGGGTCCAGTATACGCTATTGCGCTGTGCTAGAATCCGATGGGAAGTTGGTTCTAGCAGGTTGGGAAGGCAGAGGATTTAAATTAACTAGCTCTGTTTGAAAGTGGTGTTATAAAATGGAGGTATGAAGCCCTTGGGGAAAAGAGGGCATTCCTTTTAGCTTTCCTTATCTGTGAGGAGCTCGTTCACGTTTGTTTTATCAGACCCTAAGGCTTTGCTCCGGCATACCGAGCTCCCTGGGACATTGGCTTGAGCAACCTTCCAGCTGTGCTGTCTTGTCTGCTGGGGTCATTTTTCATTTGGACACACTCATCTCTACATCTGCCTTGTACTATTTCTCACCCTTGCCGCATTGTGTCGGGCACTGTACAGATCCACGGGAAGAAATAATATTGGTGCTTCAAGCAGCTTGCTGGCTAAATAGACCAAGATGAAAGGAAAGCGACAAAGAGGTGACTGCTCAACTCAAGGCAAGCGGGCTGGTCCGTGCTTGGGTTCTGTTCCCCAAGCTGCTCTGGTAACGGGTGTGCTGCCACCTTGCAATTCTTGCAGTCCTTGAGGTGGCATGAAAATGTACCAGGTCAGGAAACCTCCCCTCTCTCACCCCACCAGGAGGGTAATGGGTGCACTTACAATCTCTCGCTTGGTCAAGAAAGTGCTAACCTAGGTGAATGGGATCAGAAAATTAGGATTGGAAGAGACCCCATCTAGTCCAGCCCCCTGCTCAAAGCAGATTGACCCCAACTAGATCATCTCAGCCGTGGGGTAGGGCTGTTGGCCGTAGCTTCCTTGTGAGCTCTCCAGCCTGGATTGGTATCGGGTCCCCTGGGTCTTCTCTCTTTGCACAAGGGTAGGGCTAGTGTGCATCAGCCACTACTGTTCTTCCATGGGGTCTAGGACCAGGCAGAGCTGTTCGTGCCAGAGCTTGTGGGGAGCTGTAACTACACTCCTTCCACTCGGTTCCCCTGGCCCAAAGTCGGAGCGACTCTGGCACCAGAACGTTCCCACCTGGAGGAGGCATCTGAGTCGTAGTTACTGTCCTCTCCAATCTCCAGGGCAAACTGCTCCCACCTCGTCTCTCTGCTGCTACATATAGCTGGATGACACCAGCTATGGTACACCCAAGGCATAAATGTGTCTTAAACTGCTAGTGTGCTCTGAAACGTGTCTTCCACTTGCACCACACCCAGGTTTGGACCAAGTTTGCTGTATCATAAAGTGCATAAGGCAGCACATCTTAGTCCGCTGTTGAGTCTTCCAGCTCTGGTAGCCATTAACTTCAACTGTTAAGGTGCGATGACTTAGACTGGCATTGAATAACCAGAGCCCCTTCTCCTGCAGTTCTCTCTGCTGTCACATGCAAGGCCAGCAAAAACTAGTTGCCTAGTACAGGTAAGCCTTTAATTAGTTATGAGTCCAAGGTATACTTTGAAACCTTAAGGTGATTGTAGGGTGACTTAAGGTATGCACACGCATCCCATGATGGTGCAGGTATTGAGCTTCTGGAATGAATTACGGCCATAGAGTTGTAATGGAAAGGATTGCCTTGAGTGGTGCTCGCTGTTCTGTGCTTTGGAAGCAGGTTGAATGTAGCCCAGCCTGGCACTAGGGCTGTGCAAAATTTCGCTGGGTGTTTCATTTCAAAGCTGTTTTGACTTATTTTGAGCTTGAAACAGTGAAATCGAAACGAAACACAAGGCTTCGAAACTGCTTCAAAACGAAACGAGGGCACCAGCCTGGTGACCTTTCCCGCCCCACATAGGGGTGCCACTGCCCTCACCCCAGCCCAGTGAGCTTCCCCTCCCTGCCCCAGCCCTGGGAGGTGGTGGCGCTCTGTCCCAGCCTCCCTGCTCCCTGTTTGACCCTGTGGCACCCTTCTCCTCCCCCCTGATATCCAGGCACCCGGGGTCCTTTGATTAAGAATGGTTAAAAATCCCTGGCCTGAAGTAAACTAGCCGGGGAGGGGTTTCATTCTCCTCTCCCTGTCCCACTGGCAGGGATCCAAGTCAGGGTCCACCGGGCACCCCCTCTTGCTGCTGCAGTGGTGGGGCTGGTTGGCCGTCACAGCCCCTCCACCCCCATGGTTATTTCTCCCTTCACCCCCAATGCCCCTGGGACACCACAGCAGAGTCCTACCCACCACTGCCGCTTGCTCTGTGTCCAGGGTAAGCAGCCGCCTTCATGCCCCCTCCCTCTGGCATCCCCTCCCTTCAGCATCCAGTGGAGGGGACTTACTTTGCTGCTTGCCCCGAGCATGGAGCAAGAGGCAGCAGCAGTGGTGGTTGGGACAGGCAGATCCAGCTGCAGTGCCCTGGGGGCAGACAGTGGGGAATAACCCTGCTCCCCCACCCCCATGGCTATCTGCTGGCTGGCATCCAGCCCCGTCTGGCTGATGGAACAGCAGGTGGGGAGTGACCGTGACGGGCAGCAGTTCCTGTCATAGTTTCCCAGAGCTTGAGCCCCTTCCCAGTGGGGGAATGGCTGCCTCACAGAGTGGCCCCTGCCGGCAAGAGGATGGTGCTGCCTGGACACCATGATAGGGGCTGCTGCCCCCATCAAGAGCCCTGTCCCCTCGTTGCTCCAGCAGCTGGGCAGGGATGCAGCCAGAGGCCAGCTGGCAGGGCTGCTTAGGCGAGGGGGAAGGGAGGGTGGTTATTTCTCCCTCCCTCCACTGGAGCGGGCAGGAGGGGGTCTATTCCACTGCTTGCTCCACAGCAGTCAGGGCAGGCAGATCCTGGCTGTGGTCCTCCAGGGGTAGAGGGGGGAACCCCCCTCTCTGCCCCCTCTGCCTTAGGAGCCATGCCAACTGGTGTCTGGCCATGCCTGGCTCCATCGCTGCAGCAGCGAGGGGGGAGTGCCTGGTGGACCCTAGCTTGGGTCGCTGTTGGTGGGACAGGGAGAGGGGAATTAAACCTCTTCCTGGCCAGTTCAGCCCAGGCTACTGCTGGGACTGGCCATGCCCCCACTACTGGAGCAGTCAGCAGAGAAGTGTGGGTCTGTGCTGGTGGGACGGGGGAGGGACGCAGGGAATAAACTTCTTCCCTGCTCCCTTCTGGGGCCAGCGTCTGGCCAGACCCCCCACCCCTGCCTGTCCCTGTGTGTCCCTGCTCTGCTCTGGCCAGCCCTGCTCTGGTGGAGCTGAGAGCCCAGCCCAGAGAGCATGCTGGGATGCTGGGGGACTTTGGTTTAACTGAAACCAGGAAGGGCTCTGGGACAGAAATTGCATAAACTGGTTTGAGCTCAATCAGTTAAGTCTGATACTACATTCAACCTAGCTTATCTCAAACCAGTTTTGGCCCTTTTGAAACTGGTTTATGTGCACTGAACTTATGTTCTGCTACAGGTTTAAATCAGTTTCTGATCACTTAAACCGGTTTATGTGTAATGTCTGTCCCTAGCCCAGATGCATGTGCAAAATTGCACTTATTCACATCCAAAGACTAGTGTTACAACATATGGCCTGTTTGGCAGGTCCTAGGGCATGTGCCGGTTCTCCCAGTGCTGTGCCCTGGTCATTTGGACTGGTCTGACTGGTCAGGTTCTGAGAACTACTCCGCTTGACATGCTGCACTGTTGGGTAGGGGGAAGGATTTCTACATAAGACTGCACCTCTTTTCTTATTGGGACACTGTGGGTACCTCTTCATGCTTGGAGAGCCTCCACGATAATGTACGCCATCTGGAAGATTAGAAACGTTACTTCAGTGAACAGCTTTAAGCCAGTTAGAACAAGCCACTACTGTTGAAACCAAAAAGTCGAGCAAGGCTTTGTTTCAAAATAACCATTTCCATTTTGTTTCTGCAAATCTAGTTGCCATCTGAGCGCATTGTTAATTTAAAAATAACTTTCTCCTTATAAAGCAATGCACCAGAGATACATCCATTCCAGCCAAGTTTCAAACTGTTGGAAGATTCACTGTTTTTAGAGGAAGGAAACAAGGTATTTCCTAGGCCTAATAGTACGCTTTGCATTTACTAGCTAATAAAATCCTGAAGAGATGCCCAAGTGTTTGAGGAAAATGGGGCTCCTTGTATCACAGGAGTTCCTTAGTCTTGATGATTTTATTCTGCCCCATTTGGTTGCAACTTGCTGGGCTGGATGCATGTTATACATGCTTTATTGAGGTGGACACCGATAGCTGAAGCCTCACGTTCACTAAACTGATTTCTATATTGTGGATGCTCATATTTGAGACTCACAGGGTCTGGATCCACCACTCTGGTATTTAGTCTTTTTCATAGGCCGCAATCTTCTAGTATCTGGAACTTGTAGTATCCCATGAGATAGGATAGGACACTGCTGGCATCAGGTGGGAAACTCATCAGACTTGGTCAAGATCTTGCAGAGCAGGGTTTTGAACCTGGGTTTTAGAAGCGTGGTCACTCGGTCTGGGCCTGACTTCACTGAAACCAGCTTGATTCAACATTCCTGATAATGTATCATGCGGCGTCTGAGTCCTCACCTTAGAAACTTAGACATCAGCACTTGGGTACCCCAGACTGGAGGTTGTTTTGAAAATTGTCCTCAACATCTTATCCCGGGTCATGTAGCAATGTCGACACCAGTAGTCACCAGGTCCTCTCTTCTGAACATGTGATCTCTGATGCTGCCATGCAAAGGGAATGTCCCTTGCCTATTTTTTTCAGGTAAAAGGTGATTAATACATTACACGCTTTGTCTGTGAAATGTAAAACAATTGTGCAGTAGGGTTGAACAGCACAGATCCCGATGAAAAATTATCTTCTTGCCACTCCCATGTACTTCAGTGGAGTGTGCTTTGTGTTTAAACATTAATTCCCACCCGTATGAAAGGGGATTGCAGGACAGTCCAGCCGCAGACCAAGCTCAAGATGACAGACACTGCAGAAGTTTTAAAAGCTGCTGGTGACTGTGGGCGTTTTCAGATATGGTTAGTGGTGCTGATTTCTCTCGCATGCCCTAGCCTTTCTTTCCACCTGTTTAGCCAGATTTTCATGGTTCAGCATGTGCCTCACCACTGCGATACAAGTTGGATCCTGGAAATTAATCCAAACCTGACCAAGGAAGAGCAGTTGAATTTAACTATTCCTCGCAACACGCAAGGCTCGTATGAGGAATGTTACATGTATACTCCAGTGGACTGGGATCTGGACTCCATCCGGCGCTATGGGCTGAATTCCACGGAGAAGTGCCGAGATGGCTGGGTGTATTTGTCCTCTGAAGAAACGCTCATAACTAAGGTTTGTAACCTTCTTTTGTCCCTCCTAAAACCTGACTGCTTCAGTACAGTAGCACTAATGTTGACTGAAGTCCACCAACTTCTGTGGATAGAGCAAGTTAGGAGTTGTCAAATGGGACTGGAGCTAAGGTGGGTGCAGTGTATAGGAGAAACATGCTAATGTAGTGCTCCTAAGAATTGCATCTTTATGCAATGCATGGGGTTTGCATAACTGAAGCATAATATAGACATCTAGTCTAGCACCCTTGGAGACAGGATCAAGTGTATGGGGACTGACTCAGTGGCAGTGGCCAGTGCTGCTGTGGAGTGGATCTGTCGGGAGTGCCTGGCAGGGCATGCACTGTGGCAGTCACCTATTGCCATGAGTCCTGGCAGCCAAAGAGGACAAGGCCTTGGTGGTGGGCCATAGTCCAACCAGGGCCTGAGCGTGTTCTCAGTGCACCCTGTGGTCATAAGCTAAGCTACGTGGGAGGCTTTGCTTGTAATGTGCTTCTCCTGCTTGCATCATCTCAGCCCAATCAGCCGAACCTTGAACTTTTCAACGAGCAACTTGGTGCTGAGCCATGTTCATCATTTTCATGTTGACTGCAACCTGTAGTAGTTTCTCTGGCAGCTAATGTTGAGCTCAGCTGTTCAGGGTCACCCAGCAGTAGAAAGGGGGTGTGCTAGGGCTTATAAAATATAAAGGTCCAATTTTTTCTCTTTCTCTTTCCAACTTGGTAGGTTTTTCCTTCTCCCTTCTCCTCCCTAGTGATAGAAAGAAGGATGGAGGATACTGAGGGGGGCTTATAGAGGGAGGAAAAGTGCAAGGCTGTAAAACATTCACTACATCCAGGCTTTGACTCTCGTTTTCCAAGGGGCAGGGTCCATGTTTAACTTTGCAAGTAAACCACTTGCTGCAGCTTCAATGGGAGAGGTGGTATGTAATACCTCTGAGGTCCCCTGTATGCTGTCATCTGGAGTTTGTCACTCTTTTGTGTTCTTTGCCTGTGCTTCAGAACAGCTGAGGTATCTTGTACCCCTACCAGTAACTCCTAGGCTTATTTTCTTGGGAAGCAGTGGTGAGCTGTTTGCGGTAAAATCACTTGGCCTTTGGTTTCCCTCCCCTTTGTGGACACTGAAGTGAGCAGACAAGATCCTAAACCCCCACCGGCAATGTATTGCTAAAAGGCAGTTAATGCAGTAGGAGTGGGAGAGTAGAGTCCCTGTAGCTGGAGGTATTCATTGATTCATAGACTGTAGAGTCGGAAGGGACCACAATGGATCATCGTGTCCGACCCCCTGCCCCTGGCAGGAAAGGGGACCGAGGTCAGATGACCCCAGCCAGGTGACTATCTAGCCTCCTCTTGAAGACCTCCAAGCTAGGTGATAGCACCACCTCTCTTGGAAGCCCATTCCAGATCCTGGCCACCCTTACTGTGAAAAATGTCTTCCTAATATCTAACCTAAATCCACTCTCAACTAGTTTACACCCGTTATTCCTAGTCACTCCCTGGGGCGCCTTAGTAAACAGCACTTCCCCTATTCCCCGTTGACCTCCCCTAATAAATTTATAGGCGGCCACAAGATCTCTCCTCAGCCGTCTCTTGTGAAGGCTGAAGAGATTCAGCTCTCTCAACCTCCCACCGCACGGTCTATCACGAAGGCCACTAATCATGCGAGTGGCCCTCCTCTGGACCCTCTCGAGATTCCCCGCGTCCCTCTTGAAGTGCGGCGCCCAAAACTGGACACAGTATTACAACTGCGGCCTGACCAGTGCCGCACAGAGGGGGAGCATCACCACCTTTGTTCTATTAGTCATGCACCTGCTAATGCACGACAAGGTGCGATTGGCCTTGTTGATGGCCTCGTTACACTGCTGGCTCACGTTCATCTTGGAGTCGATTATGACTCCAAGATCCCTCTCTGCCTCTGAGCTGCTGAGAAGGACACTCCCCAACCTATAGGTGTGCTGGGGATTCCTTCTTCCCAGGTGGAGTACCTTATATTT